GTCAGTACAGGGTTATCCTACTTTACATAATTTTTTCCTTATACGCGCTCCGTATTTCATTTTGCAAAAAAAAACGGAATATTTGACGTAATTTTCCTGAAGTACTATATGACTCCTTTTGAATTCAACAAGTTTCTACTTACATTTCCTGTAATTTTGTGTTAGTTTGCATATCTGCATTGAATGTCCCTTCAAGCATGCCTGTTTTCTTGCATACATTATAAGCCTGATGAATTATTCAGTTAGCTTTTGTTTGAACCTCAGGAAAATATTTGCATCTACCAACAATTCTGATGAGCTTTACTGTGAGCTGATTCCTTTTCTTGTCTCTATGGATGATACTGGATGATTCACATTATGAAAAAATTGTTGATTCGCCATTAGGAAATGCGGTCGAATTTCAATTAGTACTTGGTACCGGAAGAAAAAAATTAAGGTTTGATTATACAGGTTGGCCAACATATAACTGACTGATTTAAATTGCGCGCTATTTTTGACATTTGACATCAACTTATTCATTGGAGACCTTAACATTAACATATTAGATCATAACAATAAAAATATTCAAGATTATTTAAATACAATGGCTGAACATGGTTAGCTATCATCCATTAACGAAATGACAAGAGTAGATTGAAACAGTGGGAGCTGTATACATCATATGTTTATAAATTCACGTTTAGAACTTGACAAAATATATTCAGCAATTCTAAAATACGAGTACAAAATTTCTGATCATTTTCCTACTTTGCTCAAAATCGGTCTTGAAAGTACATCAACCAAAATTGGAAAGACAGTGAATAATACGAAAATTTACATTGATTATAAAAAACTATATAACAACTTACTCAATGAAAATTGGATTGTAGTATATAACGAACCTAATATCGAAAATGCATTTGTCCTTTTCATATCTAGCATTGAAGGCCATAGTTCTTTCCGAAAAGAAATTTATAAATGTTTTGAAATCATGTTCGATTGTGGTTTTTAGTGTATGTCACTGGTCGCTTTCATAGAGAATAGCTGTATCATCCGCAAAACCGATAACTTTACCTGTACTACTTATTTTGAACAAATCGTTGATAAATAGATTAAATAAAATGGGTCATAATACTGAGCCTTGAGGTACACCGTATGATATAATATGGGGTTCACTGAATGAGTTATTAATTTTGACGCACTGTGTTCGATTTGACAAATAATTTTCTATAAGTTTGTATGTTATTCCCCGGAAACCCAAGTTTTCTAAAGTAGTTAAAAGTGATTCATGAGTAATAGAGTCGAATGCCTTTGCCAAGTCAACAAAACACATGGTTGGTTTGCCAATATCGAGATTCGTGTATACTTTACTTGTTAATTTTACAATAGCATCTTGAGCAGATTTGCCTTCTTGAAAACCATATTGCTGCTCTGCTATTGAGTTATATTTTTTGCAATTTCGGTGAATCGTTTTTTTAACACTTTTTCAAATATTTTAGAAAAATTTGTTAGGATGGAAATTGGTCGATAGTTGTCGGATTCTTCTCTTTCTCCAGATTTAAACAATGGTTTTACCATAGTGTGTTTTAAACATGTAGGGAATACTCCTTTATTCATACAAGACATGTATGACAGTATCCCGCAGATGTTGGAATTTATTCTCTTGAGAGTATATGCTGTTATATTATCTAGACCTGGAGATTTTCTTAATTTCAATTCATTGATTATTGTCTTTATTTTATGCGTATCGGTCGGTTCCAGATATAATGAGTTATATACTAAGTGACATATAAATCCGAACACCCAGCTTAAATGGTTTTATTTTAATAAAAGTTGGTGGATGTATTTATCTTACTGTAAATAACAAGTGAAAAACTTTTCAGCCTTATCAGTTGGACATTCCGGTTTTTATACTGCTTTTTTTTAATTCACTAACGCTCTAAAAAGGAATATTTCAGCCGCAGTAAAGAATCAACGTTGGCGGAATTTGGTTCTTGACATCCTTTACGATCGGTTACGATGCCTAGAGTACGGAGACCTGTACGATTTCGTCAACTTAGTGAGTTTGATAGGGGCCGTATAGTGGGACTTCGGGAAGCTGGACTTTCTTTTCGGGCAATTGCAGTTAGAGTGCAAAGCAGTGTAGACACTGTGGTTAGATGTTGTCAGGCAAGGCTTCGAGAAGGCCGTACGCAAAGAGCAAGGGGCACTGGACGCCGCCGTAGAACAACAGACCGTGAAGATCGCCGCCTAAGATTATTGGCCTTAAGGGACCGTTTCTCCACTACCAGGTCCATTGCAAATGAATGGTTTGCAGAACATGGAAGACCTATTGGCATGCGAAGTGTTTACCGACGAATGAGAAGTTTTGGCTTGTTTTCGTACCGGCCACATTGGGTCCTCCCTTTAACTCGAGAACACCGACGTAATCGCCTTGAGTGGTGCAGACAACGGTCACTCTGGGATCAGGAATGGAACAGTCTTTAGTGACGCGTCTCGATTTTGCCTAGGCGCGTTGGCGAATCCGTAGCACATCAGGGTGCATCCACACATTATTAAAGGTCAAAGAGCTTTAAAGCAGTGCAATCATTTTGAAATTTTTATCATTTACTTATTATGCTTCATTAACTACTTATACAAAATTTTATTAAAATAAAACCATTTAAACTGGGTGTTCGGATTTATATGTCACTTAGTATAGAATCAAATTGCCTGATCACGAATGGATAATCGCTGAGCGTCATAAATTAATACCATCTGTTTATGCTGGTATCAAAATCACTTCCAATATGCTAGGACAACCGCAAGCCGTTGGGTATTCTGGACCAACATACATCGCTATTCGAAGTGGAAAGCATAGTTCATCTACTGCTAATACTCATGCTCAGGATTTCTCGAACCTGAAGAGTTTCGACCATTAGATAAAACTGACTATGGACTAGTAAAACCAGTGGTAATCATGACGGTTCATGGAGGGCCAGATGAAAATCCACGTTATCAAAAAGTCATAGGGTTTGCTATACAACACTTTAAGCGACATGATCTCGATCCATTGTTTTTAGCTACCAATGCTCCTGGAAGAAGTGCGTATAACAAAGTAGAGCGCAGAATGGCTCCTCTTAGTCGGGAACTGGCTGGTTTAATATTACCTCATGACCATTTTGGGTTTCATTTGGATGAACGAGGCGTTACAATTGATCTAATTTCGAATTTGCAGAAAATGTATTAGTTGAAGTATGGGGTTCAATGGAAATTGATGGCTGTAATGTTAATGCAAAATATGTAGGGCAGGTGAACAAGATCTTCCTGATTTTCCAGACATTAAATGGTATTCAGAACATGTGCGTGAGAGCCAATACTTGCTTAAAATTGTAAAATGAAGAAATACAGAATGCTGTCGTCCAAGAAGTGGCCTATTTAGATTACTAAACCGTCAAGTCACTAAATCGTCACACTGAAAATATCCATAAAAAAGTAAACACGCACACTGATAGGAAAGTTAGACCTGTAAGGTTCGTTAGAGCACCATGATGTTGAATGGCTCGATAAGAACGACGTAGACATTCCAAAATCCGATGAACGCGAGCAAACTCACGACACTGAGCAGCAATCGAAGCAATCCAATGTCATCGAAAACTTAGAATCATGGATTCGGGTTTCATGGACTGAATACTGTGATAATTTGAATTTAATATATGTACCAAAAATTTAAAATAAGTTTGTTATGTTAGTAAGATATAATAGTTTTGTCCTTTACTCTATGTTGAATACCATATCAGTAAAATATAATCTCTATCCTAAACCAATTTTCTTATTTTTCAAATTATAATTATAACGTTATAATTATAATATTAAAAGAAACAATACATTAATTGACAAATGTTTACGTAAGCATGGGGGGAGGGGGTAAGAGCTTTGCTTACTTTTGCTGACATGGGGGATTGAGGGGGGGTAAATAATTGTAATAAATCTGCTTACGTAATACTTGAACGGGCCCTAATCTGTGTTTTTTAGTTTTTGTAATTATTGCGCTACATAAGCCTTCATCTAGGGCATTGATTCCCAAAGTGGTCTGTATCGACCCCTAGGGGTCTATGTCATACCGGCAAGGGGTCTACGTCAGCGAAAAAAAATTTGGGGGTCCATGAAATGAATATGGGGGTCCACGATAGTGGATCTCAACACATACACTGATAGTACCTATTTACTTACATCATACTATCCTATAATATCAAAACATATACATTATTTATAAAAGTACCTATGAAGTAAAAAATTTATTATATATGTTTATAAAATTGTGTAAGTTGTAGGATGTTGGTATTCGCTTTGTGGTCGCAATACATTTTGAACCTGAGAGTCGCAGTCTCAGAGCTTCGCTACCTTGCACTGACTTGTTCAATTCGTCACTATATAAATACGAATGTGGGACAAATACGTTTATTCGTTTCCTGAATCTTGAAAAGGAAACTGCTAAGAAAATATTTTAAAAAATATAAACAGATAGTATATCACACAAATTATAGTGAGACAATGTTATTTTATTTGAGAGTGCTGGAGAAAAGTAAGTACATTATTTTTTATTAAATTTTAGTTTTGTACTCGTAGTTAGCAAAGATAGATAAATTACGCCAATCATGACTTTAGTTATTAGTAGTTAAATATTCAATCATGCAAAATTACACGAGTACTCCTCAATAGCCTCTTTTTGAAAGTTTTAGCAATCGGTAATATAATTACAGTGCAATCTCCGTAATTCGAGCTAATTGTTGCACGAAGATGTTCGGATTATGGAATGTTTTCGGAAAAATCAAAAAATATTTTTAATATACAGCTGCTGGATTTTCTGTCTTATTTAAATAATTTAATTTTGCCCACAGATGACTGATGCCATGTCCGAATCTAAAAAGAAATGTAGACAGTACAGTGTTGATTATTTGAAATTTGGCTTCATTCCATCATTGCCGGACAAACAATCGCCTATGTGCCTTTTATGCAACAAAGTTTTGGGCAATGACGCTATGAAACCATCTAAACTGCAAGATCATCTGAGAAGATGCCACCCTGATAAAACAGAGAAAGGTTTGAAATACTTTCAAACACTCAAAGATAAATTTCAGAAGAGACCTACACTGGACAGAATGTTAGCTTCGACGTCACAAAGAAATGATGATGGTTTTCGGGCGTCTTACAATATCTCGTTACTTATAGCAAAATCCGGAATACCGCATACTATCGGAGAGAAGTTAATTTTGCCAGCCGTTGAAGAGGTTTTAAAAACTGTTTTACACAAACCTGCATCTGATATCATTAAAAGAATTTCCTTAAGCAACAATACTGTTGAAAGACGTATTGATGAAATGAGTTCCGATATTGAAAGCTTCTTATGTAATTATTTGCAAACGACCCATTTCTCTATACAACTGGACGAGTCAACTTTACCTGATAATGCAGCATTATTATTGGCATATGTTTGTTTTATTATGAATCAAGAAATCTACGAAGAACCGACAATAAAGGTGAATCAATATTTCATGTTTTGAAGGATTGCTTCATTGAAAAAGCAATTCCTTTATCAACTATAATATCAGTAGCTACATATGGAGTACCTGCCATGGTTGGACGTTATCGTGGATTTATAAGCTATTTAAAACAAAATGTGTCAGGGGTGTTAGCAATACATTGCGTCATCCATCGATAACATTTAGTTGCTAAAAATTTTGAGTGATAGATTACATGAATCACTTCATTTAGTCATTGATGCAGTAAACCGAATCCGAAGCAACGTGTTGAATACGCGGTTATTTGCGCATTTGTGTGAAGAAAATGACGAGCACTTTCATCAATTACTCCTTCACACTGAAGTACGCTGGCTGCCGAAAGGCTTATGTTTGACAAGATTTTTTGCATTTTTTGAGACTATTTTAGAATTTCTGTATACTAAAGATAAAATTTTTAAAGAAAATTTAATGAAGAGGAAAACAGACATCGCCTATTTAACAGATATAAATATATATATTTTTTTTTAATTATTCTGAAAATTCAAGGCTAGGTACACACTAAAATTCGTTAATTTTTTGCCTATTTTTAGATAACTTAAACGTATAAGGAGCGGAATTTAATCAAACTAACAGTGAAATTATTGTATAACCTACGTTTATGTTATAATTAATAAACGAACTCGCTTATTATACTATTTTAAGTAAAACACTTTTTTTTATTCTTTTTCACTTTTTTTTATTTTATCCCTCGTATTTTTTTTTTTTCAATGCGGGCACTTATTCCTAATGCGGGCACTTATTGGTCAGACACCTGTTTATTTAATTTTACTCATATTTTACATAACAGATACAAAATTTTATTTTGAGTAATTTTAATTTGAATTCAATTAATAAATGTATAAGTTAACATGTGTTTTTACTTTAAGTTTTTAACACTAGACTTCACTACAGTTAGAAATTCACAGGAAATCAATATCAGGTAAGTATGGGGTCTACCCAACACGGAAAAACATGGGGTCTACGACACAAACAAGTTAGGGGAATTCTGATCTAGAGTTTCATTCATAAAATTTTAGAGTTAGCATAGTATACGAACAATGAACAATGGTATCTATACCACGTGAGAAAATATTCAAATTACCTATGTGGTTTTTTCCAAAATTCAAACAAGTGGTAACGCCAACATAACCTTAAAGATTATTAGCTATATAACTTTTGTTTCTTTATTGACATAAATGACCCATCCTGATGTTATGATTCTGGTGTGTCGTGTGGTAAAGAGTCGTAAAATGACAGCAATAGGATAACAAAATAAACGATATTAGTAGTAAAAGTAAATGCTATCGTGAAAAATGCGTAGAAGATTGAAAGGCAAAAAGAAACAAGCAGCAACATTCGAAAGAAAAATAGATGCCAAAGTAGTGAAGTTGCTCTTACTGGAAGAAGGAGGATCACAATACTTAGACGGAATCATTTCATGCAGGAAATGTTTGGGATCATTATATGACACCCCATATGAGAAGCACTAGATCCTTTCCGGTTCGGTTGGTGAATGAAACCCGGACAATTCGAATCAGGTCGATGATCGGTGATACGGTCACGGTCATTTTATTGGACTGACTGAATGGTAGAAACGTGTGATTTTGAGGTTATGCCCGACGCGGAAAGGTATTGTTCGCTCGTCGATAGAGCGACGGAGACTGGAAAGCGCGTGCCACCGTCGAGATATCGATCCAGTTCTGTTCCGGGTGACAGCGGCGAAGATACGAGGGTATATGGCGGGAAACTGTAACGCTTCCTTTCCGCAAAAAGTCCAGAAAAGATGGAATGCAATGAAGATTCCAACTTTTCTGCACAATCACAGAAGGGGGGTTACCATTAGCTTCCGGTAGCTCAGTCGGTGGCATGAAGACATCTACAGGCGTGTAGCTGTGTGTCGACCATGTCATGGCTAGAGGATAGAAGAACAAACAGAACACAAAAATTTAACAGATTTTATTTAACAAAAAAAAAGCATTTCCATTACATTACAATTTTACAGTTTTAAAGAACAAAATAAGTTTTACATCTTTGGCGCTGCTATAAAACTATCAACTTATCTTTCGCTGGTCCATTTTGACTCGACTGAAGCGAGGATGGCCAGGTGCTTGAAGTGGAGGTCCCAGTTATGAGGGGTGACCTCACATATAGTGGCTTCATAACCAGTTGTAGGCGAAGTTGAACTTAAAGGCGATGGCGCTGCCAAGGCACATGCATGGGTGAAGTGATAGGCCAAGCAACGCAAAGTCAAAGACTAAGGCAAAGGGAAAGGGAAAGAGAAAGAGAAAGGGGGTGGCCCCAATCATTTTGTCCTATTCGGACACACATTCTACAAAATTCTAGCACATGGTGCTATATGACCTTGTGCTACAGAGAAGAAAATTCTTAGCTCTTGTTCGATCGGCGGCTCAAGTGAAAAGGAAGCGCGAGGAAGATCGCAGATCAGGAACTCCGCATCAAGCGGTCCAAGCGGAAAATTTTCCAAGTAAAAAAGCTAGAGATGGGATTAATGAAATGATAATCGAGAAGTGATTTAATAAATACGATCGGACGGTGAAACCGTTACAAAACCTCTTCCGATTTTCAATGTCCCAGAAGAAATGAAAAAAATTCAACAAACAAATGCTCGTATTATTCCGATCGGGGAACGATCAGCCGTGCCGACTTTCGGCCAAGCTGTGAATTTCAACGTTAATAGGAATACCGTGTATGGTCAAAACTTTTTTATTCGACAAATAAAACGTTGCTGTATACAGGGTGTAAACGTTATGATATTCATTATTTAAATGGGTGGTAGAGGGGTTTAAAAGAAGCAAAAAGATTCATATACCATGGGGGTCGTAACGACATTTTTTTAGCGAAAAGCGACTTTAAAGTAAAATAAAATCTGACAACGTCGCAATGCCAGACGCGGATTACGACGGAACGCAGTGTAAATAAAGATGGAGTTTGTTATTTTTGGCTCTTAGGTATTATTTCATTATTTGATAATGTACTCGTAAAATGCAGCGCTTCACCTAGTGTGTGAAAGTTTATTGAACGTATTAAAAAAATCTACGTATAAATAGGGAACACAACTTATATATACTAAGTGACATATAAATCCGAACACCCAGTTTAAATGGTTTTATTTTGATAAAATTTTGTATAAGTACTTAATGAAGCATAATAAGTAAATGATAAAAATTTCAAAATGATTTCAAAATGATGTCTTCCTCATGATGCCGCTGCGCGATATGTCTGCCGGACAGACTTCGGCCTCCTATTCTAACCGTGTCGAACTTCATACATCCCGAACTGGCCGATACGAGCGCTCCTTGGTGCCAAGGGTTTCATGATTATGGAATAATTTACAAGAGGGAACTTTTCCCAGTTCTACTGACCTTAGGCGCCTTCACAAATCGTATTAACAATGTTTCTTTGGGATCCTCATAGCAGACATGCTGTCATGCATTTAGGCTTCTGCCTACGCGGCTGCTTCGGTGAGATACAACCTTTAATACGGCACAGGTTTTACGCAGGCAGTTTTTTAAATATATCTATAGGATTACTGACAAAAATAGAAAATATATGTTTCTTATGTAAGCAGATAGTTAAGGTTATAGTATACAGGGTGTTTCAGTTTATTGTTGCATAACTTCAAGATTCGATAGAACTTTTAAAATTAATGCATAAAGTCTATATAAACATGGGTCGAAAAATGCGTGGCTTCCGAAATACAGGGTGTTTATTTTCTACAATAGTTTTTTTTAATATTTCGAACAATATTTGATGTATAACAGTGAAAATTGGTATACGAGGGTTTTTTGGTACGACAAAACGAACCATGGGCATAGTTTTACTGTAGCCGCTAGAGAGCGCTCTCTACTGTACCTGTAGTGTATTAAAATGACCGAAAAATTTTTCTTAGTGCAATTTTTTGCTTTTTGAATAAAAAAACTGAATCTTCGCACTTTTCAACATAAAAAAGCTCTCTTGTGAATTTTCGTTATATTTAGCCGTTTTTGAGATATTTCGATTTTTAAGGTTCGATGCATTTTTAATTATTTATGATAAAATAACGTTAAAAAGTCAATATCTCGATGATTTTTAGAAGTAGGCTGTGCCTGCAAATATTTTTGAAATTGAAAGCAGAATAAGGTTAATCGTCAATTAGTTGACAGTTAGTTTTGTTGTCTGTTGAAACTTGAAACGTTTTTTTGCAATTGTGAATGAACGAAATTTAGTTTCTTTTACCTGTTTTCTTTTTTGAAAGTTTTATAAAAATGCCATTTTTATTCTCCAATCAAGAGTTAGCGGATATTCATTTTGTGTATGGCTTTGTAAATGGAAACGCAGCAGATGCAGCCAGAGAATACGAACGAAGATTTCCAAACAGACGACATCCAACTCGCTCAGTATTTGTAAGAGCGCATCGCCAAATTATTGAAAATGGTTTTGGAAATCTCTAAAGGGATCAAAACATAAATGTTCGTCAGCGCAGATTTACCCGTATGATTCTGCGTGAGTTTGATAGAGATCCGACCACAAGTGTTAGGAGAGTTTCTGGTGCCTTGGGAATTTCAGCAAGCCATGTTCACCGTGTTCTTAGAAATGACCGTAGACGTCCTTACCATTTGTTTAAAAACACAATCTAAACGATCATCTTAATTAAATGTAATGCCCAAATCGGAAATGTAAAAAAAATATTATTTTCCCATAAATAATTAAAAATGCATCGAACCTTAAAAATCGAAATATCTCAAAAACGGCTAACTATAACGAAAATTCACAAGAGAGCTTTTTTATGTCGAAAAGTGCGAAGAATAATTTTTTTTATTCAAAAAGCAAAAAATTGCACTAAGAAAAAATTTTCGGTCATTTTAATACACTACAGGTACAGTAGAGAGCTCCCTCTAGCGGCTACAGTAAAACTATGCACATGGTTCGTTTTGTCGTACCAAAAAATCCTTGTATACCAGTTTTCACTGTTATACATC